TAAGGTGCGCACGCCATTAAACCCAAAACAAGACCCATTTTGCCAATGGGTAATAAGGATAAAATTTCAGAAAATCGAAAACTACTTAGAAAATGAATTAATTTTACTTCCTCTGTAATTACCAGATCAAATTAGACTTTTCTAGTTTTGAATTTTTTTTTTTTTTTTTTTTTTTTTTTTTTTTTTTTTTTTTTTTTTTTAAATCTAGCTTTTTGCAAATTTTTAAGCTTATTCCAACTTTTCCAACCAATGTGTAATGAACCTTGTATCAATTCATAATAATTCTTTACAAAATAATTTTTGCAGCAGGAAAAAAAGAAATGATTTTTAGGAAATGATTCTTCGCACTTAGAAATCTTTTTTTTTTTTTTTTTTTTTTTTAAAAAAAATAAATATTTAATNAAATTATTTTTTTTTTTTTTTTTTTTTACAAAAAATAAATATTTTATATTAAAAAAAAATTTATCACATCAAAACAGTTCGTAAATTATTGTACATAGTATAAGGATCAGACTCAAATAATTTCGAAAGTTGTTCGAGTTCTTGATGAGTGTGGGAGAAAATTTATAAGCTTTGGAGATCGATTAAAATACCATTTCCTATCCTACAATTTAGTGTCATCATTCAAAATGCCCCAATCCAATGAAGTCGTTTGGTAAGCCTTTCTTTACCCTCATCATAAGGGGGGAGGAGCTCGGCAATTAGTTCCTCTGAAAACCTATCGTTTGACACTAATTGCTACCTGTTCCTGAACGAAAATACGTTTGTATCTTTAATCGTTCTGTATTTGAGAACTCCTCCCATCGTTTGAGAAGAAAATGATACGGCTGTTCGTGCACAAAAAGAATCATACATCAAAAAACGGCTTCGAATGAAATAATCGTTTGCATAAATAAAGAAACAAAAAAAAAATGAAAGAAGAATCGTGAGTGAAGAAATGTGATAGAATTTGTTTTGTGGTTAAATGAAAACTCCGATGAATCGTCTGAAGATGTGGATTAACGAGCGATGATTATCGAATAAAAGGAGGCGTGGTCGAACTATCGCTTGACCTCTTTCGGCAGATCACGATTCCCTAAAAGCAATACTTCTTCGAACAAGTTCACTCGATTTATTTTTCGTGAAGGGATGATCTTACAGAGTGAAGTCTCTATAAGTATGTTTTATTCTTACGTAAATCTATGCATTCTTCTTCATTCAAAGTAGCAAATATTGAAATCAGATTCATTCAACTATTCATTCACACTTCTTGAAGGGGGGGGGAGGAGTTATATGAAGCATAATACTTCGATTTATAATTAAGAAACAATAAAAAGAAATGCAACAGGATAGATAAATAAAAAAAAGCAGACGACAATTTTGGCGTAGAATGCCGAGTTTTTGTGTATAACACCCGTAACGGAAAATATCTCGTGTACTAAATGATGACTGGCGCGAGTTAAATCTGCCAGGTTACTAAGTCCTCCATGTCCAACAAATTATTCCTCTGGAGATATTGAATTGGGGATTGATCTCTCTGGTTCAGGTCAAAGTTACGATCTGTTGATGAATGAATGGATGTATGAATGGGTCCGCCCTTTGAATGGATCCGACGTATGGGTGGGGCAGAAGTCGAATTCCTGGCCATAGATGGCACCGGTTTGTAAATAAGAACAATCGCACCCATAGTCTTAATGACCAACGTCAACAACACCGAAAAATATGACGTATTTGATGTACTGTCCGTTTCAAGAAACAATGAAATTTTGAATTATATAATCGACAGCTTAATTCGTTATACCAAGTTAATTAGTATAATTGGATGATAATCATCAGTCCTGTTTCAGCTAGATAAGTTTCCTTTTATTTTTATAATACCTCGGTTTCAACACTCTGTACACTGCGACGGTGTGTCCGGTTGCTTGCATTTATCATTAAGCTCAAAATCTTGAACCTTTTTTTTTTCCCAAAATTTTTTAACAGCCCACTCATAATTTCATTCAGCAACTAGATTATATTCGGATGTATGTAAAGTGCGTAAAGAATAATATTGCAAAATGCAAAAATAGGAAATCAACATTAAGGGATCCAAACTTTCAACCGCTTACCTGGTCAAGCCTTNCGGGAAGAATTAGTATTATTGGATGATAATCATCAGTCCTGTTTTAGCTAGATAAGTTTCCTTTTATTTTTATAATACCTCGGTATATTCTGTTGCTTGCATTTATCATTAAGCTCAAAATCTTGAACCGTTTTTTTTTTTTTTTTCCAAAATTTTTTAACAGCCCACTCATAATTTCATTCAGCAACTAGATCATATTCGGATGTATGTAAAGTGCGTAAAGAATAATATTGCAAAATGCAAAAATAGGAAATCAACATTAAGGGATCCAAACTTTCAACCGCTTACCTGGTCAAGCCTTTAGAATCTTTTTTCACAAATTACGGCTAATACAAATCCATCGTAAACGAGGCATGTTTATGCAGAGAAATTACGTTTTTATATCTGATTCCGTAACTTGATATATCGTCTGCAATAATTCATTAGCATATTGAAGTTTAGGCTCTCAAACCATTACAATTGACTCTCACCACGTGAGAAGGCAATTGTGAGATTAAAAGTTATTCGGGGTTTTCCGTTTTTATTTATTTATTTATTGTACAATAAAATTCTAAAACAAGGAATTTTTATTAAGAACAAACGTGACGCATCATGCTTACATGCAAAATAATTTAATTAGATAAAAAAATAACATTTTACAAATATCTAAACCTGGCAGACCAATTGCGAAGGAAAAAGTCCCAGATGTATAAGAACCATAATCTATATTTTCGATCCATTTTTAGATATTCATTTTTATGTAAATGTTTGTGACAAATACTCTTTAATTTAAAAAATATATATTTTTGTCAACAAAGTATTCTTCACTTTTCTTATGGATACAAAGAGGGATAAAATATGATATAAATTGAAAAGTTATGATATCTTTGACAAGTTAGCATTTTTTAGACATGTCAAATGAAACATACAAAGTGTAAATTATTAGCATACTTCACATACAAAAATGATGAAAAAATAAATATGCATCCTTTTTTTCTAAAGCCGATTAAATAGCGTTAAAAGTTTCAATTCATTTGATTAAAAATAAAAAAAATTTAAAAAAACGGAGGTTTGTGTAACCTTAAATGTTTCTAAAAAACATGTATTTAAAATATTTTGCTTAAGAGCGTCCAAACTCAACTATCGAAGGAGAGAAAAAAATGCTTTTAATCCTTTTAGTTAACTTTCACAGATAAACTGATAACTGATAAACTGATACCTGATGCATTAAAATGCAATCCCCATCGCAGTTTGAGGTAGAATCAAATTATCAAGAATGTGGTAATTATAGTTTGTCTACGGTAAGAACTCCCCCCGCCGCAAAGTCTGAGGCCGTCTGCTGCTATGGAAACAGGAATAGCTCATTTTAGAGAGGGTAGCTTCCATTCACTCTAGGGCTAACACAGTACACAGAGGAAAAAGATTCCCTTTCTCAGGTTGACTCGCTCCAAATCCTGTCCTAAACAATGACCCTACACCCCGACTGGAAATAGTTATACCTTGTTACCATAGTCACCACCACGGTTCCAAACGAATGGCATGGGGAGTTCTTACTTTAGACAAACTATGCAAGATTCTCTATTCATTTTTTTCTGACCAAATTATACCAAAACCATTCTTCAATCAGCAGTTTTTGAAAAGTAATTAAATAGCATACGAATGTGTGTTTTAAGATTTATGCTAAGTATCTTTGTCTAATTAGCGTTAAAAAAAGAACTTTCAACGACATGCAAATTGGTTTGACTAGTTTAAATTGTAATTTAAGAACTGGCAAATATACAGTTTTCTCTCATTTACTCGTGAACACAAATATAATAACTTTATTGCTTTAAGTAAAACTCCATGAAATTATAAAGTACTAAAAATTATCAAGTGCTAACTCAAATTATCAAGTGTTACTCCTAAAAATTATCAAGTGCTATTTCTCCTCATCTAATCAATCAATCCTTTTATATTCTGCCTTTTGTGTTGTCGAATATTCTCAAGAGTTTGTTTAAAGAAAAAGAAATTTCAAGAAAACGCAAATCAAAAATCTAACTTTAAGTTCAAGTTGGCGTGGGTAGAGGCTTCTTAAACTAAATAGCCCTACAAGGAACTGATTGTAAGACTCGGCATACCCGAATTCGGGTACATGATTTTGGGTATCTACTAGGTATGCCGGGTAGATATTCGGGTATCTGCCTGGCATACCTAGTAGATACACGAAATCAAACATCACCGGTCAGTGAGCTTGTAGGTGACCACTTTGATCAACTTGTGAAGAGACCAAGGGTGCGGTGTTCTCGTTAAACTTGTTCTATTACAAAGTGCTCAACTTCGCGCGGAGGTCATCGGTATACCAAATCAGGGAAGCCATCCTGCAGAGGATCAAAATTACGATGAACCGAAAACATGCCATTGCAATTTTGATACTCTGCTTTGGTAGCACGACGGCCCGCGCTCGAAATCGAGCACTTTACGGTAGAACAGTTTAACAAACACTGATACCGTGCTCATTCGGTCCCTTCGCACACATACCTATAGCACAATACAGCACGAAGGTAGCATCCAGGATAACAGGATACGAACCCGCTACCTCCACGTTCTTTTTAAGTAATTTCTCTTAAGTAATCATTCTTTTAAGTAATCATTTTTTACGTAATCATTTTTTACCCAATAATTTTTTTACGTAATCATTTCTTACGTCATCATTTTACGCAATCATAGTACGTAATCATTGTGGCTGATCACGCAGGTTGATCAAAGTGGTCACCCACCAGCTTACTGACAGCCAGTGATGCTTAATCTCGGTTTTTCTACTGGAAACCGTGTCTTTCCATTGCATCAGTTCACTGCGGAAGCAAATTATGAGTCTTTTGAGTCAAATAGTCTTTTTGAGTATTTAATACTAATAATAATAATGAGAAATTTTCTGTTGCAGGTACGGTTCTATGGAGAGTGTTGCAAGAAGGAAGAATGCCACCCGAGAGACGACCAACACGTTGAAGGCCTGGCTCTACGAACACAGGAAGAACCCTTACCCTACAAAAGGAGAGAAGATCATGCTCGCCATCATCACCAAAATGACACTCACACAGGTCATATCTGTCTTAACACGCTTGTGAGGCAGCCTAACTTCCCACAATGCAACATTTCATTCTGAAACACACAACAATTTTGCATTTTAAACAGCTTGATATAAATATAGTTCCTTCACCAGGAGTTGGCACTTGGCTCCGACTTCATCACGTGGTATTCGACGATACTATTTCGCTATTTTGGGGAGAAGGATGTGAACAATCCTGAACAAGGTTGCTATTTGACGATCTTATGACATAAATATTTATTTCGCAATCTTTATGTGCATTTTTTAACATTAAAATTTTCATAAATTTGATGATATTTCTCTCTTTTGAGTGAATAGTTAGTCCTTTTTTAGACATTAATATATTTAATTAGCTAGAGTAACGAAAGGTATAATAGCAGATGATAAAGCGAAGTAAGTGACTGAGAAAGAATTCACTTGTTTGCGTATGATTCGCATTAAGGGTTGTCTTAAATTCAAGCGGGAAGACGTTTCTCCTCTTACTCCCGCGCTGAAATGAACTCTTCCCCCGAAGAGGTGGAGCCAAGAGCCAACTCCAGGTGAACGAACTATACTATGGAAGGAGGTTTCTTACGTCTCCTCTAAATTGATAAAAACAAGCGAAAATCGTTTGAATGTGTTTAATTTTAAATATCATAGCAACGAGCATCTTACCATATAATACTACATTCATTCAGTATTTATATCAATGGGATAAACTATAGTTTGTCTACTGTAGAACTCCTCCGCCACAAAGTCTGAAACCGTCTGATGCTATGGAAACAAAACCAAATCCTGTCGTAAACAGTGATCCCAAACCCCCTACTTGAAATAGTTTTACTTCTTTACCATAGTAATCGCCACGGGTCCAGACGAATGGCTAGGGGAGTTCTTACTTTAGACAAACTATATATCCTAGATGAAAAGCTGTAGATCACGGTTTTCTTTCGAATATTATTGATTCCATCTAAGAATTTCGCCATCCAAACAGACTCTCTAGTTCGAACGTTTACAATTTTATTGCTTTATCTTATTCAAAAATCACTTCTCGAATAGCTAAGATTTTAAATAAATTTGAGTTTAAAGCCCTTTAATAAATAAATAAATCTTAAGTAAATCAATGAAGCCTTGCCGATTGTAAAGACTCTATTGCTTATATTAATAGCTGAGGTATTTATCAGATTTCGGGTAAATGTGGTCTTTCGTATATTATAGACCAGTGGTTTCCAACTGGCGACCCTCGAAGCCTTTTTCGTGGCACGAGAATTAAAATATATTAGTTGTCGTTTCTTTTTTTTTTTTTTCTTTTTTGCAGACAATTTTTGTAAAACATCCTAAAACCTAATAAAAAAAACTAATTTCTTCGTTCCTATGAAATTTAACTTATCAACGATGCAAAAAAAAATTTTTTTTCTCAGGTTTTGCATCCAAGAAAATATTTATTCAAATGCAAAAATAATCGTGTATGTTGCTCTTTTTTATTTCGTTTTTTTGTATTTTGTGAACATAGTTTAGCATATGCGTATCAGAAATTTTCTCGAAGAAATTCTCCCATTCTCCCACTTTTTTTGGACAAAATTACTTACATTTTTAAAATTTTAAAACGCATAAAAGAGGGAATGAATATCAAGTTTTATTTAAATTCCTTGAATTGAATATCGCATGAGCAGAAAAGAAGAAAAAAAATTTATTTCATATGATCGAAAATTTTTGTTGTTGCCATAATTCCTAAAAGTCGAAAAAAATTTAATTTATCACAGAATTAAATTTAAAAGAAGAAGAAAAAAATTTGTCGCTAAGTTTTCGATTAAGAGAAGATTCAAAATGATACGTAACAAGTATTATTTGTAATGCTTGTTATTTTGCTTTTTAATATTAAAAAAACTTTGATCAAAATCTGACAATAATATTTAGGGTTCCTTCAAACATAAAAGAGTCCTAAATAAAATTTCGATGAAGTTGTGGGCTGCCATTTGACTGGTGTTTTCAATTGCCGCCCAAGCCACATGTAAGTTGGAAACCCCTGTTATTGATCAACTAACCACAATTTAAACTTTGAACACGAAAGCTCTACATAGTTGGAATTTTAACACTAAACATACCAACACATGTATACCTATTTCTACTATAGCAGGTCAAATGCAGGTCTTTATGTTTCTTGATTGAATGGATGAAATATGGATGTTAGAAAGGAAATAAACAAACAAAAAACTTTATTATAATTAAACAAAATTGCATATTGCCAATTTTTATGTATTACAAACTCAAAGAATAAGAATTTTTAATTCATCGCTCAACGCATTTTTTACCTATACAGGATGTTTCCATTGTGCATTTTCAACAAAGGTATTTCTTCTAATTATTATCATTTCTATAATTCTTATAATTATAAGAATGTAAAAGAATTATAATTATAAGAATGTATAAGAATTATAATTCTTATAACTATTCTTGTAATTAATATTATTTCCTCTAAGTTCTTGTACTTTCTTACATTCGGGTTTCGACATTTTTATGGGTAAAAACTGACAGTTAGTTAGAAATGAAGTAAAGCTATCAAAATAAAATATAAGCTACTTTCCAAAACATTTAGTTTTTGTCACTTTTTTTTACACAAAAATGCCAATCTGAAGTTTTAGGTACTTTTTTGAAATTTGAATCCACAGTTATTCTGATTGAGCTAACTACGCAACAGTCTTTGCAGAAATGTGCAACTACAAACGAATGCAATACGTTGAACACGCACTACATAGTCATTTCTGATCCGATAACCTTACAAAGCAATAAATTGTTCTCCCGGTCAAATGACCGGTTGTGGTAGAAATAGGTAAAGGACAAGTATTATTCGAAACAAACAAAATACAAAAAAAAATAGAATATTAACTGTATATAACTCTTAAAAAAAGTCAAACGACAAAATGAAAAGCGCATTTTCGATGCAAAAGTTCTTAAACGGTCATTTGACCTGTTATAGTATCTTTAGTGTTAATCATAGGTTTGCGTTCTTTTCTGCTAAAATCATCCATCTTCGTCTACCGAACTTAATTTTTGAAAATCATTCCATATTTTGAAAAATTATAATAATCCAGTTATTGATCTTTCCAGTATTTCACCGTTTCCCGATTCTATGAGCACTCTGCTGTTCCCACTTTGTTTCTTCACTTCTCTGTAATCTTTCTATGGAAAGAACTCCCCTCTCTATCCGTTTGAAGTAGTGGCGATTACTACGATGACGAGGTTTAACTATTGTATGTATATTCAAGACAAGTTTTGGATCGGGTCGGTGAGTGAAAGCGAATCAGGGGAGAGACGCTCCCCTCTTTAAAATGTGCAATTTCTTGTTCCCATAGCTACTTAGCTTATAGTCTTAAACTTAGTCTTAAATCATAGTCTTAAACTTTGTGGCAAAAAGAAGTTCTTGCCACAGACAAATTTTACCATCATTTGGTGTTTATACACTGATGAAGGCTCATGTTTATAGAACAAAAACTATAGTGTGTCGATTTTTGTACTAGGCAAAAGGGAGTTCTTTCCATAGATAAATCATAACATCATTTGGTGTTTAGAAACTGAGGAAGGCTCATGGTTATATAACAGAAATTATAGTGTGTCTATTTTTGTACTTGGTAAAAGGGAGATCTTGCCATAAACAAATTATACCATCATTTGGTGTTTAGACACTGAGGTAGGCTGTTCATGTTTATAGAACACAAACTATAGTATGTTCGTTTTGCACTTGCATTTGTGCTTCACTCACACTTTTATTTATATTTTTTCCTCTTTAATCATATTATTATTTTTATTATTATCTTTTTTTTGTTGACAAATTTGAATTCTTGACTCTCAAAACATGCTGAATATAAATTTATTATTTTCAATATATATATATATATATATATATNTAAAATGTTTTATTTAACTAATTTAATGTGTAATGGAGAAGGCTATATACAATTATATATATATTATTATTATTATTATTATTATTATTATTATTATTATATGACTGGGATACTCCTAGGTCTCAAAAGGATTATTCGTGTACTTCAGAGATATTTCAATTAAAAAATTAAAAAAAAAAATAATAATAAAATTCTTATAATTTGAAACATTAAAAAAAAAATTAGTATCCAGTTTTCCTGGGGTTTTTTTCAAAATGCATGCCCCTAAAAAGCCTTGTGCTTAAAATCTGTAAATCAATTCCTAATCAGCACCCTATTTTCGAAATTGTGGCTAAGTTTTTATTAAGGTGAATGAATGAGCAGGATCATTAGAAGAAAAATAATTGAGTATTTCTAATTGCAGGTGTCGACGTGGTTCGCGAATGCTAGGCGTCGCTTGAAGAAGGAGAACAAGATGACTTGGGAACCTAGAAACAAAACAAGCGAAGAAGACGACAGCATATCACCCCACGAACTGAAGTCAGACGATACAGCAGAAGATGAGTGCAGCAACTTGAACGGTAGGGTGTGGCATACCTTTCTACCATTTAAATTATGATAGACTTTTGTGAATTTATTACAGTTTTATCACTTAATGAATCATTAAGTCATTTATCAAAATAAAATTTTACAATACCAAAATATTTGTATTCACATAAGGCTAATTGTTAATGATATTAAGCAATAGATGTCGCTGTTGGAGAGGACAAATGTTTTTTTTCCTCAGTTCGTTTTAAAATGTTGTTCTAAGAAGTGATGTGGTTGTCGTGTTTGTATTTTGTGTACGTTCTTGTTCGTCATTAAAATGCGTTGTCCGTAATTATGGGTATTTAGTATCGATTATTTAGTACCCACTAATAAAATTAAGTTATTTTTTCAACAAGCAAGTCAAAATTATTGAAGGTTCCATCAAAAAATTTTGATGATTAATGTTGATTTCAGTACAATTCATGATGATCCAGCATCATTTGATGATCACTAAGGCCCGGATTTTGATGACATTTGCATTTTTTTGCATTTTTTGCATTTTTGGACATTTTTTGTCCTTTAGAGCAATTTTTTAGATTTATAGGGCATTTTGGTGTGCATTTTGCATTTTAAAGCATTTTTTAAGCTTTTTGTTAATTTTTTCCAACTTTCATTATTTATTGGGGCATTTATATTACATGAAATGCAATATTTGTCTTATAATTTTAAATTTCATATTGTAGCTTTCAATACCACCTGCATGTCATTATGTTTTTCCATTATGTTATTGATTGATATAAAATCTTTAGAAGTAATTCTTTGTTACAGCTTTCCCATTTTCTCTGATTTGTATAGTTTAGAACATTTCAATTTTCTAGGAAATTCTCTTCTCCAGGAATAAAAATTTACTTTCAGAAGAGATGCTCGTTTACATTTCAAAATATCAAAAAACATTTAAAAATCCAATGTAATTCTGATATTTAGCAATATTATGAGATGAGAGTTGTTATATTCATTAAAGTTTCTATACAAAATGAAAATGTTTTGGAGTCAACATATTTTCCTCTTTTTTTGTTATTTTAGGATATAAAACATATGTGTCAAACTTTAATTAACGTAGAACAAGAATTGCACTGTTTTATATATTTTTTAAATGACTCATTATAATTTTAAAGAGTAAAACATTGTTTTGGTTTAATATTTTTACTTTATTTAAGTCATGTCATAAGGCATTTTTAACGCATTTATCGCATTTTTAAGGGCATTTTTCGCACTTTTTAAGGGCATTTTTTGAACTTTTTAAGGGCATTAGTTGAGACTTTTTGGGTCATCAAAATCCGGGCTCTAATGATCACCATCAATCGACATCTTACATTATGCGTTCATGGATTTAGATATGCCAACACACTTCCATCATTCCATGATGGAAAATGCTTCCTTAATACTATGATGGTTAACCATCAAGAGAAGTTTGATCCTCATGAAACAACAATCCATGATGGTTCCAACTATACATTTTCGCGATAATTCATTGAAAATTCCTGTTGGTTCTCAGGAATATACCATCAAAACAATTAGGCTTTTCAATAAATTAAACCATCATAAATCAGTCCGAATTCCTACATTGGGATGATGGTGGTTCATAATCGTTCCACTATTTGATTCCTAAGAAACTATGATAGAAATTTCTGATGGTTAAGCGTAAACAAACCATCAAAACAAGTTGCTATTCTAATATTAGACCATCATAAATCAGCCCGAAATCGTAGATTGGAATGATGGTTACTTATGTTGGTTACCATCAAAGAATATAATGATTTATAATGGAATTGGTGATGGTTAAAATCAAGATAATGTTGGTTCATCAATGGAAAACCATCAAAAATTTTGACTTGAGCATGTATCTAAATAATAAATGAAATTAAAATGAAAACAATAAAGTAGAAGTGTTTTTCAATAAATACTTCGAGATTCACATTCTAATTTGAAATATTTATGTTTTTTTTTTTTTAATTCAAGTGTAATAGCATTTATTTGCATTTGCTTTTTTTTAAAATATTGAAAACTGTATTGCACCAATAAACACATGATTTTATCTTTCACAGAAGTGAATAAATAATTTAATTCCCACTCTACATTAAATGTTATCTTTATTTAATCGTCCCGCAGTGGACTGTTCGTAAAAACACGGTTCCCAGTAGAACACCGAAATCAAGCATCATTGGCTGCGGTCAGTAAGCGAGATGGTTACTACTTTGATCAGCCTGCGTAGGGACCGAGGGTGCGCTGTATCGGTCCTCGTTAAACTGTTCCACCGTAAAGTGCTCGACTTCGCACGTAGGTCGTCGGGCAACCGAAGCAGGGGAGCCATCCCCTCTGCAGAGGATCAAAATTGTGATGGCATGTCTTCGGATCATTCTGATGTTTCCCAGACAGTCGCCAGTAGCCAATTGTGCAGCCCTAGTTCGACGTAAATAAAGTACCTACCTATCTTCATTAATCTCTCACATGATGGAGGAAAAAAACTAATATCAAATAGTATCTTCTCGCATACTCACTAAAATACAATGAAACCGCGCAATCTGAAAATATCGAAATAAGTAAAACAATAATCACAATGACCGGTAGTAATACGAGACTATTACAAGTACACACAAATAACTACAAAAAGGTACAAATAATGGTCTTTCCAAGCTACTTAAATTAGAATTGTTCCACGTCTTCTATCTTTTGAAGGAGATCTGGAAAACTATCAGTACACTGTGTTTTCATTTTTTTTTCATTTAGCTATTTATTAAGGTTGCTCTATATTCTCTATATTCTTTAAATAAAGAATCGTCAGTTCGGTATCCCGTATGGTTGGTGCTTTCTACACTAGGGAGCTCTACAAGCTCTTTAGTGCCTGTACTCCCCGGATACTCTTTCCGGTGCATTTTGAAGCCATTTGGCTCACAACGTTTTGAGACTCTTGAGTATTTCTTGTATATAGTTTGTCTACGGTAAGAACTCCCCCTCCTCCTCAAATTCTGAGGCCGTCTGCTGCTATGGAAACAACAATAGCACATTTCAGGGAGGGTTGTTTCCCTTCACTCTAGGGCTAATACCGAAAAAAAATATTCCCTTTCCCTCGTCGACCCGAGCCAAAACCTGTCCTAAACAGCGACCCTACAGCCCTACTATAGTTATACCTCATTATCATTGTCTCCGCCAAGGGTCCGGTCGAACGACTAGGGGAGTTCTTACTTTAGACAAACTATACCTGTATTTGCCACCGGATTTATTATTTGTGTTTAAAAAAGGAATCGTCGTTTGAAGACTTTTTTGAGACATAGGAATCGTCATGTGAAAAATAAGGAAAAGAATCATTATAAAACACTTCTTGCCTTGTCAGCAATATACTTCGAAATTTAAACCTAAACGATAATTTGTAAAACTTATTAATCTCGCTGCTCTAACAATATGCTAACGCCAGCGTATGATGGTGTACGGCTTGCAACAAGAACATTAATAAACAAGTTCTTGTTTTCCAGTGGTACCATCTTTGGCCAAGAATTCGACTTCTGCCACACCCATAAGTCACACCCATTTATAGGGCGGACTCATTCATAAGTCCATTCATTCATCCACAGTCCGTAATTTTGACCTGAACCAGAGAACAATCAATCTCTAATTCAGTACCCCCAGAAGTAAAATTTGAAATGGGAGCGTGGAGGACTTTGTGAAGTGACAGATTTAACGTGCACCAGTCACCATTTACTGCACGTGAAGTCTTCGGCTGGCTGGATTCGAACTCCCGTTCTCACAAACGCCAGTTTGGCGCCCTACAAACCAGGCTACCCCGGCTCTTTTAATTCATTAAAATATTAATACACCATCTCTGCTATCTCTGAAACAAATATTTTCTGAAACTACGGAAAACCCGATATTGAATTCTTATTGAAGCTGCTCTAATTACCAAAATACCAATACTAGATGCTACAAAAATTAGAGAAGCGTCATCTGAGCTTGGCGATTTTTTATGGTTCCCCTTAACGAATTTTCCATTAACCTTTTCCTCATTAGCTTTGCGTTTTATCACGTAGTTTATTTTTATTTCAATTACTGCATATTATCAATATTAAATATTAATTATATATATTAATATTATATATTAATTATATATATTAATATCATGTATTAATTATATATTAATTAAGTATTGGCATCATTAAAAATATGATGAATAATAATGTCCCCAAAGCCAATAAGTTTCTTTTTCCTATTAACTTTGCTTTTTATTTAGCAGCTCATTTTTGTATTTCAATTGATACACATTATCAACGTAATTAAGCATCATTGTCGTCAATGATATGGCAATTTTTAGGGCCTAATATATAAATACCTTCACTCCATTAATTTTGCCTTTTAGTACATAACTTTTTCTTTTGTTTCGATATACATATATTACCTAAATTAATTCAGAATCTTTGACGAAAATAAATAAATGGCGATTTTTTGCAATTCTTTTAAGCGATTTAGTACCATTTTTCCATTCATTTTACCTTTGAATACATTACTAATTTTCTTCCAACTATTGTTTATTTTAAACTATTTACTTTATAGAAACACATTTTAGGAGATTTACTACTAAACACGTGATATCAGATAACTGTTGAAATAATAATTTAGTGAAGTAGTTCACGAATGTTACCACGCTAATGCTGAATTCATCTAACATAGCAAATAAAAAATAATTAAATATTAAAGTACGTACAATAAATTTTTACGTATTTTTTTAAAAAATCAAATAGAGCTATAAACTAGCAAATATCATTGATTATATCTTTAAAATATTTGAAAAATTGAATCGTCTATAGTTAATTTTAAAACAACGGCTAACGTTTAACTAATCAAAAAATTCCATTTCGTATTTTGCTGATCCCGCTGAAACGGTTCATCGTATAATGTTCTGAAGTAGACAGCTTACTTTAAAGCTCAATTTTTTTTCTCACACGAGTGGAGTAAGCAGCAAATATATTTTTCAAAAAAAATCTAAAATACTTTTAATTCTTTTTTATTTGTAATAAAACTTTAGCTATGATTTTGTAGGAAAGTATTTTTCAAATGAAATTCTAAAATATAGCGCGCTACGTCGATGCTTTGAAAAAATGAATGCTTTGAAATCATTAGCATATTAACAAACATGACGATGGAATTTAAACCACATTGTCCTTCTAACTACAAATTTTATCTAATGATTTAATCACGTTTAATCCAAGAAAAATTATTACTTTTATTTTATTTAATCTGAAGAACATTATTTTTATTTTTAGATTTTTTGAAGCAAGAGCCAGAAACATTCCACAGCAAAGAACCTTTCCCTGCCGATTATTCCACATCTCCCCCCATCCAATCATGTGCTCTGGAATGTTATCGAACTCAAAGTCTTTCATCAGAAGATTCCATCACATCAGAACATTCTAGCCCAGTTAGGACATCCTGCTACCCGGGATTCCAGCAGGCCAAAAAACCTAGTGCAAAAGACGTTTCCCCTAGGTTTTCGGAAACCTTCGATTCCAACAGCAGACCAAAAATTTGGTCGCTTGCAAGAACTGCCACATCCAATAGTCCCCCAGCCAATCGCCGGAATCCGATGGATTTCTGTTTAGAAAATGTCCACAAAGCAGAGTGTTCCGTGAACTCGACTGTGTCCTCTTTTACAGATTTCATGCCAGACAGTGAGTTGTGTTGCAATAAAAAAGTGAATCACCCGGTGAATGATATAAAGTGTGCCTCAGAAAGAGGATCGTGCATGATGGACAACCCCCCTTCTTACGCAATGGACTTTCCCTGTTTAGAGTATGACAACAAATCAAAAGTTTACGAAGCGGATTGTGACACAAGAACGGAATTTTTCGATTCGAACGGATTCAATAGAACACTTCAAAAGTGCTGTCAAGAGGTTCTCGAACATTCCGCCTCGTTAAAAACGAATGTTAAACATAGTGAATAATACTTGACTTTTCTTTGGTTTCTCCTTCCAGACATTTTTCGATGAATTAGACGACAATTTAACTTGACAAAATTTATCTCTGCAGTTGTAAATAAATGAGAAAGATTGAGTTCTGTTCTTTTCCTCTTTGCATTTCTTTTTCGTTGTTCTTTTCTCTAGGATTTACTACGAAGAGACAACTCCCCAGATAGCAAAATAAGGTTTATTTTTCACTCAGCAAAAACTTTTCAATGTAAACCTAAAAAGGTTTTTTATGTGGTTTACGTGTAAACCTTCTAACCTTAAAACTAGATCTGTGACAATCTGCTCTATTCCACGCACATTACCCTAATCCAAAACCTTGGAAAATAAACCTGTATATAAAAACCTTACATCGAGGTTGTCTCAGAATAAAAATAACCTTAAATCTAGGTAATTATAAGGTGTCTTTTCGCAACGTCATGTATCTGATGAAATGTTAATAGACCCATCGCTAGTGTGACGTCAGCTAAAACGTCATTTTGGACCTAAATGACCATTTTACCTAAGTGACAATACTTTTTAAAAAATCTTTAAAAAATAATTTTTAATCCTTTTAGGATGAAAGGTTTGAAACTGCAATATTTTTGCTTTATTGAAAAAAGGTTTTTAGAGTAAACCTTTTCGTGACAGTAAAAAGAAAATTCCGAAACAAGGTTGCCGTAAGGTTACATACTTTCTGGGTTACAACCGTTCTTGAATTTGAATTTTAACCAGATTTAAAATTATGAACCCATATTAATGTGAAAAAGAAAAGACCAAATTTTTATCACAGTTGATGTCTTGGTTTGCCCCTTCCTACAAAGCTTCTTTGCTCCTTTTCGATTCGAATGGATTCAATAGAACACTTCAAAAGTACTGTCAAGAGGTCGTAGAACATACCGACTGGTTAAAAAACAAATGTTAAGCATACCGAATAATTGATTTTCCTTTGGTTTCTCCCTTCAAATATTTTCAAGAAATGGATGGTGTTTTCAATATAAATGTAAACAACGACAATCTTCAGATCTTGGCTTACTCTACTTCCGGTTAGAAAGTATACTACGCCTTATTCTGAGAGGAGATATTTTCAAACAGATAATTTTTTTTTAATGAAAGAAATGAATTATATAATTGCTGAGCTCAAATCTGCTGTATTTCATAAAATATTAATGATATTAAGTAATTCTGCTGAGTTTGAAGTGAAAATTTGTTTTGGTTTTTTAGAGATGTATTGTTAAAAAAGACATGGTTGCTAGATTTTGAGAGAACTCGCTTTTTTGGCAGTTCTGATTTGGCCTCATTATTACTCTTTGTTCTTGGTTCAAACCGTGCACCATCATACGTTAAGCATATTGTTCGAACAGCGAGATTAAGTTCATTTTACAAATTATCATTTAGGCCTAAATTTCCAAGTTGGTATAGTGTTGATAAGGTTAGAAGTGCTTTATAACGATTCCTTTTTCAAATGACAATTCTTACGCCTTGCAATGACAGGTCTTCAAATGACGAGTCTTATAACGATTCCTCTTTTAAACACAAATAATGTTTACAAATACACGTATATACAAGAAATACAGCTCAAGAGAGTCTCAAAACACAATGATCACGCTGTGAGCTAAATATCTTCAAAACACACCAATAACAGTAATCCGGAAGTATAGGCAATCAAGAGCCAGCAGCGCTCCCTAGTGAAGAAAACACTATCCATTGGAACACAATTTAACTTTATCTCTGAAGTTGTAAATAAATGAGAAAGATTGAATTCTGTTCTTTAATCTTGCATCTCATTTTCATTGTTCTTTTCTCTAGCATTTACTTTCAACCATTCGTGAATTTGAATTTCTACTGGCTTTAAAATTAGAAACTCATGTTAATGTGAAGAAGAAAAGATCAAATTTTATCACAGTTTTTTTCTTATTTTGCCCCTTCCTACCAAGACGACTTTTACCAACAGTAGAATCTCTTTATAACGAAATCCCTTTATAACAAAATCCAATTTTCCAGAAAATTCGCGATAGAAATATTTTTATTAAGATGAGATTAAAGTGTTATTTAAGTAAATATTTTTAAGAGTGGTGTGATAAATTAAAAAATATGTAATTTGATTTCTAATTAAGAACAACATAATTAAAATTTATTAATATCATTCATTTTCATTATATATATAAAATGTTCAAAAGTGCTCAATACTAATCAGTAATTCAGGGAATAATAGGATTTTTATTTGAATTAAAAATTATCGCAGGAAGGAATGATATCCAAAAAAATAGAGGCAAAAATGCTTTTAATTATAACTTTCATAAAATGTGAAGAAAACCAAAAAGATAAAGTTTCCTTTTTTTCCCCTTGCATTAGAAAGGAAAACAAATTAAAATTCAATTTTTTGTGAATTAAATCAATATAATTTTGCAAAATACCAACATTTGTATCATTAAGAGCTGATCAAAATGTAATCGCATACTTTCAATCATGATTAAAAGCAATTATCATTGTTCTAATAGTGCTTATAAGCAATCATAATTCTATATGATTGAAAGCATGATTCCAGATAGCATTGAAGAGTGCTTACAAATTTCAATGATCTACAAATATGATTACATTTATTTACAATTGTAATTACAATTAGTTGTAATTATAAGCAATTCATCATTTGTCACTCAACTCTGATAGTGTTCAAGCCTAAAAATCACTTATCTTATTTGAACAAATTTTAGCGAAATAGCGATTACTGAAATCGACGAATGTTGCAAAATAACTTTTGACGAAATTGACAGTTTTTCTCTTACTAATATGTTATCTTAATAATGTAGACTATCATACTTAGGAAGGCAAGATACAAAAACGTTAATTCATCAACATAATCTTCTTTTAACTAACAAAGCAAAAAATATATTGGAATGATGTAGATTTTCCTATTTAGAAGAGAAAAACATAAAAGCGTTCTTTCTCAGAATTAATATGGTCTTCTTTTAATGCACAAGGCAAAAAATATGTTGAAATGATGAAGATTAATTTGTTTTTAATTCATTTTACAATATTGTAAAGTAGATAAGATATTCATTTACTTAAAATTGTTGTTCTTTCCTTTCCTAAGTGCAAATTTTACTAAAAACGTTAAAATGGAGAAATTGTTGCTTATAAACTCCATATATATTATCTTCTAGATGTGGGGTTACATATCTATATATAACCCCATACTTATATATCTATATATATAACCCCACATCTTCCCGTAATATTAACTTATAATTTTAAATTTCGGTCATACATTATATTGTTATATACTTTACAATCATATCAAATAAAATAATTATAAACAAAGTAGGGGGCCGATAATATGCACAATATGTGAGTAGGTAAGTATATATTTCTAAGTGCATATAATAGTGCTAAAATGGGGGAAATTATAGCTCATATTCTGTATATTTATAGGACCCCATATCTCCCTTAAGTATTAACCTGTAATTTTCAAACTCGGTCGAATATTTTATATAACATTCTATACTACCATACGAATGGAAGTAATTACAGACAAATAAGGTGGCCCACAATGTGGCACAGTATGGTAAACCGCAGAAATTAGTTATAAAGATCGTTATAAATACGACGGCAAGATATGACCGGTAGGTTAAAGTTATATGAAGCCGAAAACTGCTAGTTCCGAGAGGGGCTCGAACCCCAGGTGTTTAAAAATTATATTTAAAAAAAATAATATGTAAGACTGATATTGATTATTACATTTAAACTGCAGTAAAAATTACATTTAAAAAAATATTTCTTTTATTTATTTTACAATATTTTAACGTAAATAAAATATTTCTTTACTTAGAATCATTATTTTTTCCTTTTCTAAGTGCGTAAATTACTAAGAGGGTTAAATTTTAGAAATTATTGCCTATATATGGCCCAATATATCCCCTTACTAGTTATTACTCATATACTGTATATATACGGCACATATGTCTCCTTAATATTAGCCTATTCTTTTAAAGCTCGGTAGGACATTATATTATAACATAATACATTACCATAAAAAAGGAAATGATTATAGACAAATTAGGGGCCCGCCCACCATGTGGCACAAGGAGAGTATGTATGAGTATATTTCTAAATGTGTGAAATAGAGTTAACATGGCGAAATTAATGCTCATATACTGCATATACATGGCCCCATATCTACCCTTAATATTAATCTATCATTTTCAAGCTCTATCAGGTAATATATTATATATATACTATACTACCATACCAATGGAATTATTTATAGACCTTTGTCATCTGCAAAACTTTGTATCCTAAATTTTATTGTAAAAATTATCTAAAGCAAGCTACTATGTATTATGTATTATGCAATTTCATTTCAATAAATACCAGCTGATCAGGCTCGCTCCCGGGGTTGTGGCGAGCTGGACTGGTAGCCTATACGGGTAAGGGTTTTGCAAACCTAGTATTTTAGATTTTGAATAAAGAGTCCTGTTCTTTATATCAAATCAATAATAGCGATCTACCTACAGGTGAGAAACGTGTTCTGAACCAAAATAATTCTGTGAAAATCGACAACAAGCTTTCATTTTTTATTTAAAAAATAAAATTATTTTCTTTTTCCTTGGATGTTTTTTTTTTCCCTCAGCCTTTTCCTTTTAAAATCAGAGTCAATACAGAAGCGGCATTTCTTCTCCCCCATACCATTAGATAACCACCGGTAAAGCGAAGCGTTTAAATTGAATCAGACAGGTCCAACTATTTAATGGGTATATTGACTTGAGCTCGGGCGTGATTTGAACGCAAATGCGGCATGCAGGGCTCGAAAAACAGCCCGTCCGCCCGTCCTCGGTGGTCAAAAATTCCCCGCGGACAACGAATTTCTTGAATCCGACGTCCGCGCGGACGGCCATTTTCCCGTTAATGTTCGTGATACATTTTCAATTTTTGTTATCTTACAAGAGTCTATCGCCTCACTTCTAAAATGACCCTCTAATCTAGAAATACAGCAACATACTGAGCATGGTGGAATTGATGTTTTCTCTGAGTACTGCAGCGGTTGAAATAGGCTTTTCAGCAATGAACTTACAAAAAAAAAAAAAAAAAAAAAANTTGTTAACCATATTC